TGTGGGGCAGTGAGAGGGACGGGTTCAGGGTGAGGGGCTGGGTTCAGCTGAGGGGCACACTGGTTGCTCCCAGATGTTCAGGCTGTCAGCCAGGAGCCTGTGGGCTGTAGGTCCCTGAGGGTTTTTGTGCTGGGTGCACCACTGTGGTAATCACCATAGTCATCGTAGCTACACGGTGGGTCGGCCCTTCACAAAATCCCTGCCTCCTCGTCCTCCGCCAAGACCACAGCCCGAGCTCAGCTCACTGTTCCTGCATCTTCCCTGCAGCTCTCCAACCGGAATGTGATCCTCAGTGAGTCTGATCTGGACGGAGTCGACGTGGATGTCTGTGTTGGACTTGTTTTTTACTTCTTTGACCAGCACTGAAAGTGAAGCCACCATGCCACTCCGTGTGACACTGTCCTGTGCTGCCATCACGTTTGCTCTGCCACCGTGAGACTTAGTAGCACCTGCTCTGCCTCGGGCGGACGTCTGGTCACTTCCTGTTAGGGGTATTCATTTTTGGAAACATTTTTTTTAATTTTTAAAAAGATTAATATATTTGTTTGAGAGGCAAGTTTACAGACAGAGAGAGGTAGAGACAGAGAGAGAGGCGAAATCTTCCATCTGCTGGTTCACTCCCCAAATGGTCTTTAGGGCCAGAGCTGGGCCGATTGGAGTCAGGGGCCAGGAGCTTCTTTGGATCTCCCTCGGAGGTGCAGGGGCCCTAGCAGCTGGGACGTCCTCTGCTGCTTTCCCAGGACATCAGCAGGGAGCTGCGTCAGAAGTGGGGCAGCCAGGACTCCATCTGGCACCTGTCTATGGGATGCCAGTGCCCAGGCCAGAGCCACACTTTGTTGCTTCTCTCCTCCTGGCCGGCAGTATCTGTTCATCTCTTTAATTCTGACCCGTCTTTTCTCCCCTGCGCTTTTGTGGTGTCTTATTTTCCTTATGCTTTTGCTACCTCTCTTCCAGAAGTGTTTTGTTGTTGTTGTTGTAGTTGTTCTAGTTCTTTCTGTAAGGTTGGGCAGACCACGCTTGTCTCCTCCAGGGTCCAGACCTCGCTTGCTCCTCCTCAGCCCAGGCCACTCTCGTCCACTCCTCAGCCCTTTTGAGTCTTGCAATGGGCTTCATAGTTTTCCTTGAGGAATGCACTTTTTATTCATGAAGAATCACTTGACATTTTCATCTTATCCTTTGGCGATTGTTTTTTTCTGATATGTGTTTTCTTTTGGTGCTGCATTTTGCTGCTGTTTGGGTCAAGCTGGTCCTGTTCTAATCCAAGTTCACCACTAGTGATGTGGACCAGGCTTAGCAGACCCACTTCCCCACCATGCCCCTCAGCTTCCCTTCCCACCTTGCACTGAGCCTGAGCCACTTCCCCATCATGCCCCTGAGTTTCCCTTCCCATCATGCCCCTGAGTTTCCCTCCCACCATGCCCCTGAGTTTCCCTCCCACCATGCCCCTGAGTTTCCCTTCCCATCATGCCCCTGAGTTTCCCTTCCCATCATGCCCCTGAGTTTCCCTCCCACCATGCCCCTGAGTTTCCCTTCCCATCATGCCCCTGAGTTTCCCTCCCACCATGCCCCTGAGTTTCCCTTCCCATCATGCCCCTGAGTTTCCCTTCCCATCATGCCCCTGAGTTTCCCTCCCACCATGCCCCTGAGTTTTCCTTCCCATCATGCCCCTGAGTTTCCCTTCCCCCATGTCCCTGAGCCTCTGCCACCTTCCTGCGTCACAGCGAGTGCAGGGAGAAGTCTTCATTTCCAGAAAGGCTCTTTTCTGCCATTGAGCCTCTCACCTCTAGGGATTTGCCTGGTGGCCGTTCACTTCCTCTCCCGACACCTCTGCCCAATGCCAGCCACTTTGGGTATCTGCATTTATTTTGGAGTCTCGAGGTTGTTTCTGTTTCCTGGGTTTACTGAAAGAGGAAGTTTTCAATTTTCTTAAAGTCTACCTTTGGATCCAGCAGGAATGCAGCACCCCTCAAAAAGCCAAGATGTGGAGTCCTCCAAGGTGCCCAAGGATGGATGGGAAACATGGAAAAGGAAAAGCCAAACACAGCTTCCCCCACTTGCTTTGCCCACACTGCTGGCCTGCTGTCTGGGCTGCTGACCCCCAGCAGGCAAGCATGCAGGGACCTCAGCAGGCGCCTCCAAACCCATAAATTCTTAGTGCCAGACCCACTGGTTGAGGGTTCATCCCCTTGGACGCCGGCCACAATTCCAGGCCATTTCATTTGTGCTTCTGACTGCCCAGTTCCAAATCGTCTCCCACAACCCCTGCCTTAGGTGTGATTAACTCAGAGAAATGCTTTTCTTAGGGTTCCTGTTCATCACATTGCATGTTACAAAGGACACAGGTGAACATCCAGGTGAGGAGAGGTGCAGGTGTGGCCAGGTGTGTGTGGGGCTGGGGTTCCTTTGTCCTCTTTGAGCTCCACCCTCCGGAGTCCTCATACAGCTTTTCTTCCAGGTTCTTATGGCAGCTTCCTTACTGATGGGAACTTGTGGGCCAATTGTATCATGTTCTTACCCACACAGAGATAAGAATTCAAAGCAGAGGCATGACTACAGGTCAGAGGTAAGAGCAGGGCTTCTATAAGGGAGAGGCAGGATAGACACTCATGGGTGGGTGAGGGCCACCCCACACCCAGAGACACCATCACCAGAGGGCCTAGGAGCTGCCTAGCAGGAGAGAACCAGGCACGAGGCCAGAGGGAGGAACAACAAGGGCCAGAAGCAAAAGGCAGAAAAGGACCATGGGCAGTGGTCCCTCTGTGGGAGGGGCTGGTGCCCTAATGAACATGGGTAATGGGCCCCTCTGTGGGAGGGGCTAGTGTCCTAGTGACCATGGGCAGTGGTCCCTCTGTGGGAGGGGCTGGTGCCCTAGTGACCACGGGCAGTGGTCCCTCTGTGGGAGGGGCTGGTGCCCTAGTGACCACGGGCAGTGGTCCCTCTGTGGGAGGGGCTGGTGCCCTAGTGACCACGGGCAGTGGTCCCTCTGTGGGAGGGGCTGGTGTCCTAGTGACCATGGGCAGTGGTCCCTCTGTGGGAGGGGCTGGTGTCCTAGTGACCATGGGCAGTGGTCCCTCTGTGGGAGGGGCTGGTGTCCTAGTTGAACATGCAAAGGGAGTGGAGTTTGGACGAGGCTTCACATGCCTAAAGCTTTCTGGGAGTTCCATGGTGCTTCCCTTCCCTGAGGCCATCATGACATATCCTCCTTCCTGGTCCCACATGAGACACAGGTGCATTGTGGGAAAATGGACATACTGGATTGACAGGCAAGGGGTGGAGTTACAATTCAGAGCTACAGGTAGAAACTGTGTAAAAAGATCTTCCAGCTCACCGGTTGCTACCTAACCATCCTGCCTACTTCCCCACTACCAATTACATTCGAGCAATTGATTTAATCATTAGCTGTTGGTGATCAACTCGGCCTGCAGCCCCCTCCCCTCCCCAGAGGCAGTGTGGGACTGAGAGTCGTCTACTTACGTCTACTTAAGTCATCTCTGCTAACGTAAGTAGAAGGCAAACACCTGGAATAGAAAAGTAGACCCCCCCCCCCCCAGCTCCTCATGCGCTAAGGCACCACTCCCTGCAGCACAAATGAGGCTGAGAATGGGGGAGAGACTTCTTCTTGTCGGACTTCAGCTGGGGCTGCCACTCAGGGACCCTCTCCATCTCTCTCCCCCCGGACTTCCCTCTCCCCGACCAAGGCCAGGTGTCATCCACTTGGGTGTTAGTGGACATCCTAGTGTGGGCTTTTGTCTTCTCGCAAGAAAGAACTCTGGCATGAGACAGAAAGCAGTGGTAGGCAAGTAGCAAGTTTATGGAGGCAGGACATCCATGAGAACGGATGGGACAGAATTCGAGAGAGCACCCAGTCACTGAGACTGGACAGAGCAAGGTCGCACGGGTGAACGGAGAGAACACACCCGGAGCCAGGCAGGCAGCTCAGCAGGGGCTGAGTGCTGAGCGCAGAGTCTGTCTGCAGACTGCGGCTTCTGAGGGAAAGGGTCCATCTTTCCCCGCCCAGGACAAAGAAAATTCCTCCCGGGTTTTACTACTCAGTGCTGTCAGTGGGGAGCCCACCTGGCACTGGGCAGGGGAGCTTCCCTGGGTGCCTGCCTTGCTGCATGTTGTCAGGCCAGGTAACCCACGAGGTGCCGAGGAGGGAGACTGCCCTGGGGAGGTTCCTCTGGGGGAGAAGGGCTGAGACCACCCGGGCAGGACTCTGCAGTGTAAACTGGGCTGCTTCCAAAGTGAGCTTCTGCATCTGCTGAGTTCCTCAGACCCCTAACACACACACGCACACACACACATACACACGCACACACACATACACACACACAGGAACACATGCACGCACACACATACACAGGCACACGCTCACACACATACATACACACGCACACATATACACATGTGCACACACATATACACACATGCAAACACATACACACAAGTGCACACACACAAACACAAGCATACATACACATAACACACACACACACACACATAGGCTAGTTTCTATCTGCCTAAGTAACATGGGGGGCTAACAGAAACTTGTGAGTGCATATTTCTCTCTTACTTTGAATAAATAAACACTGTTCTTATCTGGACATGCTACACTGTCTCCACTTAGAATTTTATCTCTGGGTGAGACTAGGACCTGCAGTGGGCATTAGATTCCTTGTCCAGGGCAATTCTGGCATCGAGAGAGACCCCTAGAAGGCTGTCTGAGCGCGCGTTCTGGGTCCCAGCCACCTGTGCTGTGTCCGTCCTGCCCTTCCTCTCTGCACAGCGCTGGGCCCGAGCCAGGCACGCTGAGGCTGCAGCTGGGTGGAGGAGGGGTGCGTGAGGGGAGCTCTGGCCGTTACCCTGAAGGAAGGAAGGAGAAACTGCAGGCTGGGAGAACCAGAGCCCCTGGCAGGAAGCCTGTTTCGTGCAGAGCTGTTCCCTGGCTCTTCCTGACCTTGGCATGGGGGGTGGGGGAGGCAGAGGGGGTGGCCCTGGAGGCTGGGCCCTGCCCTGAAGCTCTGGAAATGCAGAGTCCCTGGTCTCCGGGACAGCGGGCAGCTGGGGCCAGGGAGTCTAGGGCGGAGGTCAGGGCTGCCCTTGGGTCCACTACCCCCATCTGTGACTTGCGTTGGCCCTGGGATACAGGTGCAAGGCCTCTTCACCCAGGAAGGGAGGTGAGTGACCACCACGGGCAGCCTGCAGACATAGGTGGGCACGGGCTTTGGTCAAGGGGTGGAAGGCTGTGGTCACTCCTGCATCCCCCTGGCCACTGCTGTCTCTCTGAGGGACACCCTCCTGAGGGGTCAGTTCTGGCTGGGGTGGGTAAGGGTAGCCCTCTCAACTGAGGGACCCAAGACTCCGGCACTCACCTCATCCTCACTAGGAAATGTGAACATCCAGAGGGTCTGGGCTGTGGGAGATACGCAGGGACTGGGCAGGGTGTGGGGCTGGGCTGGACCTAGGTGGGTTCGGGGGCAGCTTAGGACACAGCATTGCCCACAGTGGTAGTTCCAGTTGTACCCACTATGATCCTGGGCCGCTGAGAATCTGTTCAGAGGTGGGCCTCCTCAAAGGAGGGGCTACAGGGGCGGGGCCTCCTCTGGGATGAGGCTGTTCCAGCAGCTTGGGACCTGGGAGGCTGTGGCTGAGTTTTATGTGAGGCCTGAGGCACTGTGGGTAGCATAACCATAACCAGCATAACCAGCATAACCACTGTGTCTCAGACCAGCACAAAATCCCCTGCAGCATGGTGAAGTGTGGTGAGTCTCTGGTCGTCACACTTTAGAGAGGGTTGACTTACCCGGGCTCCTGGGCAGCAGCTGGCCACAGAAAGCCCTCACTGAGGGCCTTTGGGACCTGGCCTGGGTTGATGTGGGGGGTCTTCCACAGTAAGAGGGTCCCTTGCAGAATTTCCCTCCTTCCTGTCCCTCCCCAAGCATTGGGGGAGGGTCTGTGTGTTCCAGATGAAGATGGGGGACCTGGGGGCATCCTCAGCTGAGCTCCCCCTCCCCTTTCCAGGGTGTACAGCTGCCCTGGCTGCTCTCCACACGTGTGTCTCTCTGCACCTGCCCTGCAGCTCCAGGGGACATGAGAGAGGCCAGATGGTGGGTGTGCTGGGCCAGTGGCCAGGCCAGGCTGGGTAGGAGGGGCAGTGGGTCATGCGTGGTGCCCCCTCCGCTGGTGTTTGCTCAGCGGACAGCCGCGGGGGCAGCCGATGAAGTGTGTCCTGCACCGTACATGAGGCCAGCCTGTTGGGCTGTGGTCTTGGGCCCCTCAGTCATAGGTAGAATGTCCTTCACCAGCAGGCTGCCGGCTGTGGCTGGAAAGCCCGACTCCAGACCAACTGTCATCTCCCCCACTAACAGCTTCTCGTGCTGTGTGTGTGACCTCGAGGCTTTAACTCACACCTTCAGGGTGGGTGCAGTCTTCCACCCAGAGCTGGCAGGGGAGGGGCTGAGCCCCTAAGGAGACAGACAGTCTCCAGGAGACCCTTGCTATCTCCACGAGCCCCAAGCCAATCAACGTTCATATGTGAAACACCCCCGTGCTCAGGGCTGGCGCTGTGGCATAGTGGGTAAAGTCGGCACCTGCCATGCCAGCAGCCCATGTGGTCGCCGGTTGGAGTCCTGGCTGCTGCACTCCTAATCCAGCTCTCTGCTGTGGCTGGGAAAGCAACAGAATTTGGCCCAAGTCCTTGGACCTCTGCACCCGCATGGGAGACCTGAAGAGGCTTCTGGCTCCTGACTGGATCTGCCCAGCTCTGGCCGTTGCAGCCAATTGAGGAGGGATCCAGTGGATGGAAGGCCTCTCTTTCTCTCTCTCTGCCTCGCCGCTCTCTGTGTAACTCTGACTTTCAAATAAATGAATAAATCTTAAAAAGAGAGAAACCTCCCGTGAAATTGGCACCCCCAGAGAATGACTCAGTGAACAGACAGAAATGCCCTAAACCCAGGACACTCCCTCAGAGCCAGTGTCCTCTCGGGCACTCTGCCTGGTCTCCCCTCGGACCAGACATTTTCTCTGTCGCTTGCCATTCAAATAAAAGTTTCTGCCTCTTTGCAAATTATTTCCTGGCTTGTTATTCCTATACTAAGTTGAAGGAAGAGATCCCACGAGACTCAATACAGCAACTCCAGCCCTCCCCTCCGGGACCCATAACACATCAGCTCTGACAGCTGGAGGCTCCTACCAGCAGCCCTGCACCGTGCTCACCCCCTTGGAGGATCCTGGTGCTTCCCCATGCAGGACTGGCGAGGGAAGAGCAGGGGAGTGAGAACTGGGCCCTGGGACCCACACCCATCCACCCTGTGCAAGTCGCAGGCCTGGCATGAGCCAGAACCCATGAGCAGGGGCTCAACACAGGCCTTCTTCGTCCTCCACGTCCTCTGGAGTTGGGGCTCAGAGGCCACCCCAGGGCAGGGCTGTCCCTCTGGTGTGGGCATCAAGTCTGTGGGTGCTGGGCTGCTGGCTGTGTGAGGGATGAAGTATAGGAGTGGTAGACACTGGTGGGGTGGGCTGTAAGCCTGAGCAATTGGGGTCTGCTCTGGCCCTCGAGCTGTTGAGAGTCTGGTGGGAGGCATGGGCTCAGCCCCTGTTGGGGCAGCTGCTTTTGAGTGTGGACCGCATAGCCTTGGGGTCCAGGACCCGATAGGCACAGTGATCGAGGCCCTGACCCTATGGCCTGTCCTGGCAGGGCACCCTGGGAGTGTGGGGCAGTGAGAGGGACGGGCTCAGGGTGAGGGGCTGAGCTCAGCTGAGGGGCACACTGGCTGCTCCCAGATGTTCAGGGCTGTCAGCCAGGAGCCTGTGGGCTGTAGGTCCCTGAGGGTTTTTGTGCTGGGTGCACCACTGTGGTAATCACCATAGTCATCGTAGCTACACGGTGGGTCGGCCCTTCACAAAATCCCTGCCTCCTCGTCCTCTGCCAAGACCACAGCCCGAGCTCAGCTCACTGTTCCCGCGTCTTCCCTGCAGCTCTCCAACTGGAATGTGATCCTCAGCGAGTCTGATCTGGACGGAGTCGACGTGGATGTCTGTGTTGGACTTGTTTTTTACTTCTTTGACCAGCACTGAAAGTGAAGCCACCATGCCACTCCGTGTGACACTGTCCTGTGCTGCCATCACGTTTGCTCTGCCACCGTGAGACTTAGTAGCACCTGCTCTGCCTTGGGCGGACGTCTGATTTGCTTCCAGTTTGGGGTTCCCCACATAGGCAGCCCCAGCTTCTCTGTCCATGAGGTTCTTGGCTCCCAAGCTTTTGCTAATTTTTTAAACCCAGTATTTGTTTTGGAAAATTTTTTTTAATTTTATAAAAGATTGATCTATTTGTTTGAGTGGCAAGGCTACAGACAGAGAGAGATAGAGAAAGAGAGAGAGTGAAATCTTCCATTTACTGGTTCACTCCCCAAATGGTCTTTAGGGCCAGAGCTGGGCTGATCTGAAGTCAGGGGCCAGGAAATCCTTCTGGGTCTCCTATGTGGATGCAGTGGCCCAAGCAGTTGGGACGTCCTGCACTGCTTTCCCAGGACATCAGCAGGAGCTGGACCAGAGGTGGAGCAGCCAGGACTGCAAGTGGCACCTGTCTATGGGATGCCAGTGCCCAGGCCGGAGCCACTCTTTGTTGCTTCTCTCCTCCTGGCCGGCAGTATCTGTTTCATCTCTTTAATTCTGTCACAATTTTCCTCTCTCCCCTGCACGTTTTTTTTAATAAAGATTTATTTATTCATTTGAAAAGCATATATATATATATATATAGAGAGAGAGAGAGAGAGAGAGAGAGAGAGAATGAGAGAGGGAGAGAGAGGTCTTCCTACACTTGGTTTACTCCCCAGTTGGCTGCAAGGACCGGAGCTGCAGTGACCCTAAGCCAGGAGCCAGGAGCTTCCTTCAGGTTCCCCACGTGGGTGCAGGGTCCCAAAGACTTGGGCCATCTTCTCCTGCTATCCCAGGCCACAGCAGAGAGCTGGACCAGAAGTGGAGCCGCCAGGACTTGGACTGGAGCCAGTATGGGAGGCTGGCAGTGCAGGCGGCAGCTTTATCAGATATGCCACAGCGCCGACCCCACCAATGTCCTTTTGTGATGTCTTATTTTTATTTTTCTTCTGTTTTTTATCTACTGCTCTTCCTGAAGGGTTTTTTTGTTTGTTTACTTTTCTTTAGTTCTTCCCATTAGTTTGGCAGACCACACTCATCTCCTGGGTCCAGACCTCGCTGCCAAATACTCTTCCTCCTTGGAATAAACACTGTTCTTACCTGGACATGCTACACTGTCTCCACTTAGAATTTTATCTCTGGGTGAGACTAGGACCTGCAGTGGGCATTAGATTCCTTGTCCAGGGCAATTCTGGGCATCGAGAGAGACCCCTAGAAGGCTGTCTGAGCGCGCGTTCTGGGTCCCAGCCACCTGTGCTGTGTCCGTCCTGCCCTTCCTCTCTGCACAGCGCTGGGCCCGAGCCAGGCACGCTGAGGCTGCAGCTGGGTGGAGGAGGGGTGCGTGAGGGGAGCTCTGGCCGTTACCCCGAAGGAAGGAAGGAGAAACTGCAGGCTGGGAGAACCAGAGCCCCTGGCAGGAAGCCTGTTTCGTGCAGAGCTGTTCCCTGGCTCTTCCTGACCTTGGCATGGGGGGGGGGGAAGGCGGAGGGGGTGGCCCTGGAGGCTGGGCCCTGCCCTGAAGCTCTGGAAATGCAGAGTCCCTGGTCTCCGAGACAGCGGGCAGCTGGGGCCAGGGAGTCTAGGGCGGAGGTCAGGGCTGCCCTTGGGTCCACTACCCCCATCTGTGACTTGCGTTGGCCCTGGGATATAGGTGCAAGGCCTCTTCACCCAGGAAGGGAGGTGAGTGACCACCACGGGCAGCCTGCAGACATAGGTGGGCACGGGCTTTGGTCAAGGGGTGGAAGACTGTGGTCACTCCTGCATCCCCCTGGCCACTGCTGTCTCTCTGAGGGACACCCTCCTGAGGGGTCAGTTCTGGCTGGGGTGGGTAAGGGTAGCCCTCTCAACTGAGGGACCCAAGACTCCGGCACTCACCTCATCCTCACTAGGAAATGTGAACACCCAGAGGGTCTGGGCTGTGGGAGATACGCAGGGACTGGGCAGGGTGTGGGGCTGGGCTGGACCTAGGTGGGTTCGGGGGCAGCTTAGGACACAGCATTGCCCACAGTGGTAGTTCCAGTTGTACCCACTATGATCCTGGGCCGCTGAGAATCTGTTCAGAGGTGGGCCTCCTCAAAGGAGGGGCTACAGGGGCGGGGCCTCCTCTGGGGTGAGGCTGTTCCAGCAGCTTGGGACCTGGGAGGCTGTGGCTGAGTTTTATGTGAGGCCTGAGGCACTGTGGGTAGCATAAGCATAACCAGCATAACCATAAGTATAGTAACCACCATGCTGCAGACCAGTACAAAATCCCCTGCAGCATGGTGAAGTGTGGTAAGTCTCTGGTCGTCACACTTTAGAGAGGGTTGACTTACCCGGGCTCCTGGGCAGCAGCTGGCCACAGAAAGCCCTCACCGAGGGCCTTTGGGACCTGGCCTGGGTTGATGTGGGGGGTCTTCCACAGTAAGAGGGTCCCTTGCAGAATTTCCCTCCTTCCTGTCCCTCCCCAAGCATTGGGGGAGGGTCTGTGTGTTCCAGATGAAGATGGGGGACCTGGGGGCATCCTCAGCTGAGCTCCCCCTCCCCTTTCCAGGGTGTACAGCTGCCCTGGCTGCTCTCCACACGTGTGTCTCTCTGCACCTGCCCTGCGGCTCCAGGGGACATGAGAGAGGCCAGATGGTGGGTGTGCTGGGCCAGTGGCCAGGCCAGGCTGGGTAGGAGGGGCAGTGGGTCATGCGTGGTGCTCCCTCCGCTGGTGTTTGCTCAGCGGACAGCCGCGGGGGCAGCCGATGAAGTGTGTCCTGCACCGTACATGAGGCCAGCCTGTTGGGCTGTGGTCTTGGGCCCCTCAGTCATAGGTAGAATGTCCTTCACCAGCAGGCTGCCGGCTGTGGCTGGAAAGCCCGACTCCAGACCAACTGTCATCTCCCCCACTAACAGCTTCTCGTGCTGTGTGTGTGACCTCGAGGCTTTAACTCACACCTTCAGGGTGGGTGCAGTCTTCCACCCAGAGCTGGCAGGGGAGGGGCTGAGCCCCTAAGGAGACAGACAGTCTCCAGGAGACCCTTGCTATCTCCACGAGCCCCAAGCCAATCAACGTTCATATGTGAAACACCCCCGAGCTCAGGGCTGGCGCTGTGGCATAGTGGGTAAAGTCGGCACCTGCCATGCCAGCAGCCCATGTGGTCGCCGGTTGGAGTCCTGGCTGCTGCACTCCTAATCCAGCTCTCTGCTGTGGCTGGGAAAGCAACAGAATTTGGCCCAAGTCCTTGGACCTCTGCACCCGCATGGGAGACCTGAAGAGGCTTCTGGCTCCTGACTGGATCTGCCCAGCTCTGGCCGTTGCAGCCAATTGAGGAGGGATCCAGTGGATGGAAGGCCTCTCTTTCTCTCTCTCTGCCTCGCCGCTCTCTGTGTAACTCTGACTTTCAAATAAATGAATAAATCTTTTTTTTTTTTGACATTCAGAGTGGGCAGTAAGAGAGAGAGACAGAGAGAAAGGTCTTCCTTTTGCCCTTGGTTCACCCTCCAATGGCTGCCACGGCCGGCGCAACGTGCTGATGCGATGGCAGGAGCCAGGTGCTTCCTCCTGGTCTCCCATGGGGTGCAGAGCCCAAGTACTTGGGGCATCCTCCACTGCACTCCCGGGCCACAGCAGAGAGCTGTCCTGGAAGAGGGGCAATCCTTGCAGCGCAGTATTAGCCTATTGAGCCATGGCGCTGGCCATGAATAAATCTGAAAAAAAGAGAAACCTCCCGTGAAATGGGCACCCCCAGAGAATGACTCAGTGAACAGACAGAAATGCCCTAAACCCAGGACACTCCCTCAGAGCCAGTGTCCTCTCGGGCACTCTGCCTGGTCTCCCCTCGGACCAGACATTTTCTCTGTCGCTTGCCATTCAAATAAAAGTTTCTGCCTCTTTGCAAATTATTTCCTGGCTTGTTATTCCTATACTAAGTTGAAGGAAGAGATCCCACGAGACTCAATACAGCAACTCCAGCCCTCCCCTCCGGGACCCATAACACATCAGCTCTGACAGTTGGAGGCTCCTACCAGCAGCCCTGCACCGTGCTCACCCCCTTGGAGGATCCTGGTGCTTCCCCATGCAGGACTGGCGAGGGAAGAGCAGGGGGAGTGAGAATTGGGCCCTGGGACCCACACCCATCCACCCTGTGCAAGTCGCAGGCCTGGCATGAGCCAGAACCCATGAGCAGGGGCTCAACACAGGCCTTCTTCGTCCACCACATCCTCTGGAGTTGGGGCTCAGAGGCCACCCCAGGGCAGGGCTGTCCCTCTGGTGTGGGCATCAAGTCTGTGGGTGCTGGGCTGCTGGCTGTGTGAGGGATGAAGTATAGGAGCGGTAGACACTGGTGGGGTGGGCTGTAAGCCTGAGCAATTGGGGTCTGCTCTGGCCCTCGAGCTGTTGAGAGTCTGGTGGGAGGTGTGGGCTCAGCCCCTGTTGGGGCAGCTGCTTTTGAGTGTGGACTGCATAGCCATGGGAACAAGGACCCGATAGGCACAGTGATCGAGGCCCTGACCCTATGGCCTGTCCTGGCCAGGCACCTTGGGGGTGTGGGGCAGTGAGAGGGACGGGCTCAGGGTGAGGGGCTGAGCTCAGCTGAGGGGCACACTGGCTGCTCCCAGATGTTCAGGGCTGTCAGCCAGGAGCCTGTGGGCTGTAAGTCCCTGAGGGTTTTTGTGCTGGGTGCACCACTGTGGTAACTACCATAGCTACATGGTGGGTCGGCCCTTCACCAAATCCCTGTCTCTTCTCTTCTGCAAATCCATAGCTAGGTCCACCTCAGAGAAGGACCGGCTACTGGGCGGGGCCTCCTTTGTGTGGGGCTGTTCAGCAGTGTGGGAACCAGGAGGCTGTAGACTGAGTTTTATGTGTGACCTGAGGCACTGTGCATCCCAGCTACTACCAGCATAACCACGGTTTCTCAGACCAGCACAAATTCCCCTGCAGCCCAGAGCAATGCTGTGAGTCTCTGGTCTTCATGCTTTGGAGGGGGTTGCCCTCTGCCAGGGCTATGGGGTTGCAGCTGGCCAGAGACAGTCCTCACTGATGGCCTTTGTGGTCTGACCTGGGATGCTGTGGGGAGTTTTCAACAGAGAGAGGGTCCATGCAAAATTTTCCTCCTTCCTAT